GTTCAGACAAAAGCCGAGACCAGTCGTAATAGAGGGAACAGAGGTGGAGGCCATGGACTCCTACAAGTACCTTGGGGTGTGGTTGGACAGCAAACTGGACTGGTCAAAACACACCAGCAACCTGTACGGGAAGGTACAAAGCAGGATGTACTTCCTCAGGAAACTGCAGTCCTTTAACATCTGCAGCAAACTACTATGTATGTTTTACCAGTCTGTGATTGCCAGTGTGTTAAAAAAAAAGTTTGTTTAACTCAAGAATTTAAAAAAGTTAATTGACCTCAGTTTGTTCGAGTTGATATAACTTATTTTCAACTTTAAGTGACTCTTACTTAAAACTTGAATTCAATTTTGTCAGTGTACTTAAATCCTTTGACTGGTCCTTCCGTCTGTATGACGTTACTTCCTGCTAACTGAAAAGTGTGCCGAATTAACGGCTCGTTCTGGGTTAGGAAAGGTTCAGCGGCAACCGCTGTCTGTGAATTTGGACGTGATTCGGACTGCCTTTTGTCTTCACAACTTTCTCATCTGCACTTTGTTTTGGCCTAGTCTCAGGTAAGTTGACATTATTTGTTGTTTTGCCTCCATGTTCACCTAAGATTTACTGTATTATTAGCATTAATTTATCCACTTGTAATTAGTGTTTTTTATCACCGGCTAATATAACTTAATTTTGCGTAAAGTGGAAAGTTAGTGTGCTATTTGTTCCTTGCTAAATTCAAGCAAATTGGTGGCAAGCTAGTTGCATGTCTGGGCATGTTTGCGCCGAGTCATGGGCTAACATTAAAGAATTTAAATTTATGGCAAAATGTTTATACGGTTAAGGTAGTTAACGTCGTAGATGTGTTTATTGATAAACCGCGCCCTCTAGTGCTTTGAGACACTTGTAAGGAGCAGTGCTTGGCTGTAATAAGTTAAATGCAAGTCCGGTCACTTTTCCGCGTTTTTTTCCCCGTTATATTAGGACGCATTTGTTTACATCGAAGCCGTTGTGAAATCAATATGTAGAGGGATGGATTATCATATATGCGTTTGTGTTACTGTGTCACCGCAACTGGAGCCACAATTTAATGTAAGCTAAAACCAAAACCCTGATCATTAAGTAGTGGCAGCCTGCTATATAATATTGTTTTGTTTATGTTTATGATCTATATCAGCATCCTCTGTCTCACTACATGCTTTTTTGTTGTCAACAAACACATGTGGTGATTTGTCTTGAAGCCACTCTTTAAAAAATCCTAAAGGAAAGACTGTAACATACATAGTAGATCCTGAGTCTGTATGATCCTGTCTGTGATATCAGTCAGATTTGTATGTCAGTATAACTTATATAAATCTTCTGTCTTTTAGTCTGAGACTAAAGAACTGGCTGGGCTTTCTCAACTTGTCAACAAACTGGTGTGTTGATTTTTTTTTTCTTCATATTTTCATTTATTTATTTATTTAACAATTTTGACATTTATTGCTAAAACCCATCCCTATGGATTCCTGTCAAAGTTAAGGTTTTGCCACAACACTCGTGCAATGTCTTGGAAGTGTAAGCTTTGTAGCGCAGCCTTTGATCAACGGGCACACTTGCTTGAACACTATCGTTTGCATCACAGCAATTTGTCAACAGCAAGTCCATTGCCTTGTCTTTATGATCATTGCATCTGCACATTTCAATCGGTAAATGCTTTGAAAATTAATTTAACAGGTTTACATTCAAATACAGTTCTGCGAAGTGAGAGTGAAGAAGGATGTGTCACATTCATCTGCCCGAAGTGTGGATTTAAGGAGCTATTCAATGAAAAAGCACTCCTTAGTCATTTAAGATCACATTTAAAAAACACGAGATGATAGAATGTCCATTCAGAAATTGTCAATACCGGACTAATGTCTATTCTTCATTCAATGCACAAAGATGTAGGAATCATCCAAATGGTGACATCACAGATTTTAAGAATGAGGTTGTGCATACAAACATTGATGGCAAATCAGTGCCAACTGATATAGAATCTGATGAGGGTGATACCCTTCGGAGTACTCCTGTGTGTAATCCTCCAGAGTCTAGAGATGACAATGGTGCATTGCAAGCCCAGTTGAGGAACAACTTGGCTTAGCTGTTTTTGAAAATGCACATTGTTCTTCATGTATCAGAGATGGATATACAGGACATAGTTGAAAACTTGTCAGACATATTCTCATTGTCTAAACCTCTAGTGCGAGACTCTATCAAAAGGGTTTTTCAGGAACATGATCAGGCAATTAGCAACTCCCTTCTCCATGAATTAGTGGAAGCTTTGATGAAAAATAATGTTTTTGTCAGTGCCACATCAGATGGTGCAGAGCTGTCTACTGCTAAGCGCAGGAAAACATTTGTAAGAAGTAACTACCCTCTGGTAATGCCAGTGGAGTATGCTATAGATTCCAGTGGACACACAGCAGTGTATGTGTAAATACTACAGATGCTTCAAACAATGTTTAGCAATACTGACATTCTTGAGAAGATAAAAAAAAAAAACATCAACTTCTGGAATGTACACAACTCATGAAGATGGAACATCAAAGAAAATCCACTATTGTCAGAAGGTGGAGAGTTGAAACGTTCCCTGATTTTGTATGTGGATGACGTTGAATTAGCTAATCCTTTAGGCATAGCTAGAAATATCCACAAGCTTTGTGCCGTTTATTGGTTACTTGCTAACGTACCTAGTAGATACAGGTCCAGTCTGCATGCCATTCAGCTAGCTCTGCTATGCAAAGTACCTGATCTGCAGAAATGCGGTTATCAGAGTGTACTTTCACCTTTGTTGAGAGACTTGTGCAATCTTGAGCAGGATGGCGTGTTCATTGAAACTCTTGGCCAGTGTATCAGAGGCACTGTATTGTGTGTGGCAGCGGATAATTTGTCTTGCAGGCTTTGTGCAGAGTTTCCAAGGAAACTATGTCTGCGGATTCTGTTGCTGTACTACAAGTGAGATCCAGTCCAGTGAAGCTTCTGAAGCGGGCTTAAACATGAGAACAAAGGCTTCTCATGATGTTCACGAGCAGAATGCTGTGCAGGGAGAAAGTGCACCTCACTTTGGTGTTAAATCTGAGTGTGTTCTTAGTGAGGCATTGCAGCATTTTCATCCCATTACTGGTTTCCCACCTGGTATTATGGTGGCCGACAGGTGCAAATGCGCAGCAAAAGAGAAAACATGCAAACAAAAAAGAAAACACCCCCGAATGAAATGCAGCAAACAAAAAGAGAGACGCAAACAAAAAAGAAGACGCCCCAGAATGAAATGCAGCAAACAAAAAGAGAGACGCAAACAAAAAAGAAAACGCCCCCGAATGAAATGCAGCAAACAAAAAGTGTTGAAAACGGAAGTGCTCCAGACCACTAGGGGGAGTCAAAGAAAATAGTATTTATTTCTATGGGACCAGATGCAAGATTCAGAGAAAGAAATTTGAAAGAAAGTAAAGGTACGTATTACTATATTTCTTTTCAGATACGCCGTCTTTTATAATATTATAGAATAACAGAATAATTTATGGGTAGCGTGATAGACTTTGTGTCAGTCATACCGTTCTGGGCTCGGTCTCGTAGATGCTTGCCCGAATTAGAAAAGCAATTATGCTAATCATACCGCAAGAAAAAATAGATAAATTACACACTCGTATAGATGGTGGCCATGTTTTGCTGTTTCTGTGGACAAAATCTAGGAACAATTCAAGTTTTCAGTTTTTCATGTGGGAAGAATGTGCAGATCTTGGCACAAGCTCAAGACACTGGTAAGCAGTGATGGGTTAATTACTTGTACAAATTAACTTTAATCGATTACTTATTACTACTTGAAAAAGTAGATTAGTGATTACTTTTTTTGGAAATTCTCTAAGTTACATATTTTTTATTTTTCTCCACCACTTGTGAAAAGCTTGAACGTTGCAAATAATTAATTGCAAGTTATTTAATTATAGTAATATCAAGTATATATATCCGCTTATAAGGTTGAACTGAACGGGAGATTAATGGTTACAACAGCACGCACACACACACACTCACACACACGCCCACACACAGACACACACACACGCACACACAAAAACCTTAGTATTTTGTGTATGTTTTTGTGATTTCCACTATTGTCTGGATAACTATAAATAAGATTGTAGAGCCCCCTCCTACGGATGTCAGACAAATTACGGGGTTTATATTTTTCTGCTTATTTCCAAGTCAAAATAAGAACTTCAGGATCAAAATCAAGCCCAAAAACGTAAACCCGGGATTCATGAAATTTGAAAGCGATTTCAGAAAAAAAAAAGAAGCCCAAAGCCGCTTATAATAATCGGACTTTGAGGACAGATGATCAAAATAGTTCCTGTTTTCCCAGCAACAAAATATGCATCTCCCTCCTCCCCGTATTGTTTATGTTTCTGTCGCCGCATATAACTGTGACATGTAAACGGCGGTCGCTCCCCAAGATGTACATAGGGATTAAATTAAATTACAAAAGAAAATAGCAATGCACAGTGATTTGGATAAGTAACTTTAATATGGTCTACTGGATTTGAATTAGCAACGCGTTTGATTACTCGTTACTGAAAACAGTGGTCCCACGTCGCACATATTCATGAAGTACTTTTGGTTTAACAAGCCACACTTTTTTTTAGATATATATCCCAGCTGTTTATCTCAATAAATATGGTTTTATTCTATTTTTTTAAAAATATTTTTTAAAATTATCATGCCTAACTGCACATAGTTTTGTAGAGTAGACTATTTATATGCTACTTTTAATAACAGCACAGAACTTTTGCCCTTACTGTACTGTATGTTACTCAGTTTTTACACAGATTCTATTTTGGTGTGAACTTCATTGTTTGAATTGCGTAACATTTTTACTGTGCCAACTTAATGTCCCTGGTGTTGGGCAGTAGAAATATATTCTGCTCTATTTTGTTTCACAGGATCTGAGCTGGACACCCTCTCAGAAGATGACCTGATTAGAAAGTATTTTTATGATGGCTATAGTCATTCAGAAATTTTGGATTTCTTGGGAAACCTTCACAATGTTGAAATGAGCCTTTGCTCCTTAAAGAGCAAATTAAAAAAATTATCACTCTTTAGACAAAGAAGTTACACATCGCCTCACTTGGTACGTGCTGCTATTGAAGAAGAGCTAAAGGGACCAGGCCAGCATTATGGCTATCGCTTGATGTGGCAGACACTCCGACAGAAGTATTGTCTGACTGTCAGAAGAGACAATGTCATGGCATTGATGGCAGAACTTGACCCCTCAGGAGTACAACTGCGTGCAAGACGAAGATTTATAAGAAGAGTTTATAGTTCTTGTGGCCCAAACTACAGGGGTTGGACAATGAAACTGAAACACCTCTCATTTTAGTGTGGGAGGTTTCATGGCTAAATTGGACCAGCCTGGTAGCCAATCTTCATTAATTTCACATTGAACCAATAAGAGCAGACTGTGAAGGTCCAATTAGAAGGGTAAGAGCACATTTTTGCTCAAAGTATTGCAATGCACACAACATTATGGGTGACATACAAGAGTTCAAAAGAGGACCAATTGTTGGTGCATGTTTTGCTGGCGCATCTGTGACCAAGACAGCAAGTCTTTGTGATGTATCAAGATCCACGGTATCCAGGGTAATGTCAGCATACCACCAAGAAGGACGAACCACATCCAACAGGATTAACGGTGGACGCAAGAGGAAGCTGTCTGAAAGGGATGTTCGGGTGCTAACCCGGATTGTATCAAAAAAACATAAAACCACGGCTTCCCAAATCATGGCAGAATTAAATGTGCACCTCAACTCTCCTGTTTCCACCAAAACTGTCCGTCGGGAGCTCCACAGGGTCAATATACACGGCCGGGCTGCTATAGCCAAACCTTTGGTCACTCGTGCCAATGCCAAAAGTCGGTTTCAATGGTGCAAGGAGCGCAAATCTTGGGATGTGGACAATGTGAATTGGAATTCCAATTGTGTATTGTTCTCTGATGAGTCTGCCTTTACTGTTTTCCCCACATCCGGGAGAGTTATGGTGTGGAGAAGCCCCAAAGAAGCATGGGGGTGGATCAGTGATGGTTTGGGATGCCATATCATGGTATTCCCTTGGCCCCATACTTGTGCTAGATGGGCGCGTCACTGCCAAGGACTACCGAACCATTCTGGAGGACCATGTGCATCCAATGGTTCAAACACTGTATCCTGAAGGACGTGCTGTGTATCAGGATGACAATGCACCAATACACACAGCAAGACTGGTGAAAGATTGGTTTGATGAACATGAAAGTGAAGTTGAACATCTCCCATGGCCTGCACAGTCACCAGATCTCAATATTATTGAGCCATTTTGGGGTGTTTTGGAGGAGCGAGTCAGGAAACATTTTCCTCCACCAGCATCACGTCGTGACCTGGCCACTATCCTGCAAGAAGAATGGCTTAAAATCCCTCTGACCACTGTGCAGGACTTGTATATGTCATTCCCAAGACGAATTGGCGCTGTATTGGCCGCAAAGGGAGGCCCTACACCATACTAATAAAGTATTGTGGTCCAAAACCAGGTGTTTCAGTTTCATTGTCCAACCCCTGTATATTCCTATTCCCACATATCCTTTTATATTCTTAGAACCATCTGTATAAATTTTAGGGTAATTATTATATGTAGTTCTTAAATAAATATCAGTCTTTATCCCTATTTCATTTAAATTCCAATCATTTTTCATTATATTAATTTGCAAATCTACATTAACCTCTGGTATTAGCCATGGAGGAATAACGCTAATTGGGTTGAATTGAGCCATTACCTTGTCTTCTAATCCATATTTCTCTCTCTCCCCAGCCTCCACAAACACTGTTCTTTTAAAGCCAATTGGCAACACAGCTGCACATAAGTGGGCCAAGCCACAATCAAACAGGTAAAAACTAAACAAAGACAAAGTCTAAACAGAAACAAGAATAATATTAATCTAATTTACAAACTCAACCTAATGAAATAATGTACAAAATAAACCCTGCCAAACAAGATAACTCAAAAGTTACTTTAAAGAAAAACAAACAAAGCAATACTAGAAAACCCTCTAATTGGTAGATCCCAGCAAGGTAATCAGTGACATCATTCAGCCATTCAACAGGAGACACTGGGCCGGCCACTCCCACACTCCTGACCTGCTGCAAAGCTACAAGGGAGAATGGCAAGTAAAAAGAAACACAAATGCCAAGAATATACAAGTTCAACCAATAATTTAAAGGTGGTAGCTTTAAACTAAACATATAAATAGATGGAAACTGCAACACAATAACACAAACAAACCCGGGATAGTAAATGAAGCAAGGTTGCAGTAATGTTTAAATCTAAGCATTATAACCCATTACAAAAATAAATGTATCAAAATAATAATAAGGGACAAATGGTGAACATACACTGAACCACTTTGTCACAGGGATATACAAAGATTCATTCAATCTTTCAAAAAAAGAAAAACAGCAACGTGAAAATAACAACGGATTGAGCTTTGATATCATTTTCAATCACTTAAATGTTAAAATAATAATAAATATTGTGTATATTTGAATATTTTGGAATGAAATCTATTTAAATTTAGTAAATTATGGCTGCGTCACACTGAAACATATTGTAATTGGCTTTAATTTGCTGCTTTAAAACCAAGATGTAGTTTGTGATTTGGTGATATGTAAAGATTCATTCAATCTAATTTTTAAAAAAGCGGCTAAATGTCACTCAAAATCATTTGACTGACATGACGTTACGTTCCATCTAGTGATGTCACTCACTGTGACATCAATGTGAGTGACATCATAGTTGCTGTGACATCACTACACTATGACATTCCAGCATTAGAGGTGTCATTTCTCAGTGATCATCAAGCGACCTGCCAGCGTTTTTCACTTCTCTTTGACAACAGTTCTGTATCGGCTAATCTACACCAAAACCAAGTAGCAAAATGACCAATATGGAACAATCATCAAATGTACTCTGGAGTTACATGGTTGAAGAAGAGTTTTTTGATTTAACAGAAAACTTTGATGAACATTTCCACCGTCCGGAGTCTGAAAATTCCTACACGACGTGCGCGAGTGGCTCTGGACACGATCTCTCGGACAACAAATCCTTCGTTTCTGCTTGTTCAGAGCTACATTCTGGCAAACCACAGGACGAGTTCGGTTCACTTGAGAACTTTGATGAACATTTCGACCGGCCGGAATCTGAAAATTCCTACACGACGTGCGCGAGTGGATCTGGACAAGACCTGGCGGAAAACCAATCCCAAGAATCCACTAATCCTGTGACAGCAGAATTGGAAAAGGAAACTGTGTCAGAGAAACACTGCTCTCAGACAGCTGCTCTGTCTGGTTATAGCCTCCCCCGTGTTCCTGCACATCATCATGGTAGGAAAAAGTTAGATCATGTACCATCTTATCCACTTCTGGCAAACCCTCAGAAAGAATGGATCCTCGCTTACGCCCCTGGTTCAGACCAACTTCATCAACATGGACACTGTCACGAACCAAGACCTCTGCGCCGCCCTGCACACAAACAAATGAATTATCTGGAACACCAGTTGGAGATCCTGACGAACAAGCTGCAAAATGCTAATTATTTTCTGACGCAAGAAAAAGACAGAAGGGTTTCAGCTGAGAAGGACTGCCAAAGGTACGAGCTTGAAATGAAGGAGCTTAAAGGCAGATTGGAGAAAGAGTGTCAGCTCAGACAAAAATGCGAGACAGAGCTCAGCAAAACTTACGATCAAGTATGCAGATTTTATAATAGCGTTGAAGAAATTGAAAAATCGCTTGGGGAAAATAATGAGCAGTTCAAAAAAGAACCGAAAGAAAAGACTGCCTCCAATGCTGAGATGTCCTCCATCCAGCCATCTAAAGAGGAGGAAATTCCTACCAGAGAAGTACCAGCGGCCATAAAGGACTTGGAGGATTCTAAAACAGAAAAGGAACCCGCGGTCACAAACAACAAGCAGGATTCTAAAACAGAAGAGGAGGATATTCCTACCAGAGAAGAACCAGCGGCCATAAAGGACACAGAGGATTCTAAAAAAGAACTCAGTGGAGAGACGGTTAGGAGTGGGATCGAAATAAAAGCAGTCCCTCAAAATCCGGAGGAACTGGATGAGCAGTATCCAGGAGGATCGCAGCAAGAAGCGAACCAACCCCCGGCACCAGCAAAATACAGTGAAGGGGACGGCCACTCATCACCAGATTCACTGTTAAGTCTTTTATTGGCCAATTATGTTTCACCATGGAGAGAAATAAAGAAAGCCATGACGCCAAAACACCGGCGTCAATACAAAAACCAACGTGGATTTAAAAGAGAAGAGGGGGATTGGAGTGGGATCGAAATTAAAGCAGTCCTTCAAAATTGGAATGAACTGGACAAGCAGAAACCAGGAGGATTGCAGCAAGAAGCGAAGCGACTCCGGACACCAGCAAAATACAGCGAAGGGGACGACTTATCATTACCAAGAACACTGAGAAGTTTCTCCTCATTGACCAATTACGTTTCACCGTGGAGAGAAATAAAGAAGTCCATGACGCCAAAACACCGGCGTCAATACAAAAAACAACGTCCATTTGAAAGAGAAGAGAGGGATTGGAGTGGGATCGAATTTAAAGCACTCTTTCAAAATCCGGAGGAACTGGATGAGCAGAGACCAGGTGGATCACAGCAAGAAGCGAACCAACCCCCGGCTCCAGAAAAATACAGCGAAGGGGACGATTTATCATTACCAAGAACACTGCTAAGTTTCTCCACATCGACCAATTACGTTTCACCGTGGAGACAAATAAAAAAATTCATGACACCAAAACACCGGCGTCAATACAAAAACCGACCTGGTATGAGATAAAAATCATCCAATGTTTTCCTCCAAAAGAAGAAAAAAAAAAAGCTTAAAAAAACAGCAAGTTTTGGCTCCTGCATGAATTATCTCATCTTATTTGAAGATTTTCAGTCAGAATTTTGAGCTCATCATAGTACAGAGACAGCGCTGGTCAAAATGACTAATGACCTCCTAACGGCATCAGACAAAGAACTTGTCTCCGTATTGGTTTTTACTAGATCTTAGTGCTGCTTTTGACACCATGGAGCAATGGAGTTCCACAAGGATCTGTGCATGGACTAATCCTTTTTATGTTATATATTCTTCCTGCAGGTGTTCATGAAACTGTGGAAGCAGGATCTGTGAATGGGAGTCTCCTGCTTCCACTGTTCATTGTCCTTTTGCTATTATTACTGTTATCATTATCATTACTCTCAATATCTTTACCATTTTTCATCCAGTCTATGTGTTACTCTGTAGGCTGCCTCCCTCCGCTCCCTCTGTCCTTCTCTCCGGCTCTTTCTCTTGCCCTCTCTCTTTCTCACCCCCAACCGGTCGAGGCAGATGACCGCCCACCCTGAGCCATGGTTCTGCTCGAGGTTTCTGCCTCTTAAAGGAAGTTTTTCCTCGCCTGTGTTGCCTAGTGCTTGCTCTTGGTGGGAATTGTTGGGCTTCTGTAAATAACTTCAGAGTAGGGTCTGACCTGCTCTGTTTGGAAAGCGCTGTGAGATAACTGTTGTTGTGATTTGGCGCCATGTAAATGAAGTTGAATTGATCTGCATTATTGTTCAAATGATTAAT